ACCTAGAAGATAATCATATACTACAGTTTTCGCAATGTATGATAACAACCCCTTACAAAATAAATTTCTAAAGCAACATCACTGAACAGGTGTCATGACCTATTTTTTGATTTATTTTTTGATCGAAGTTCTTTTTTCAGTATTTTTACCGCTTATATCCAAGCTAGTCACCTTGCCAAAAATTGAAATCATTCATCAATTTGGCATTTATAAGTTGTGGCAGAAAAAGCAGCGAAGATTTCAGTGGTGGGAGTATACGATAACAGCAATCGAAATGAGGAAATCTTAGGTCTAATGCCATTGGGAGACATCCATATTTCTTGTAAATTTAGGAAATCGATGTAAAATAACGAAGGAGCAACGAAAAACAGAATGACCCGGTCTTGGTTTTGATAATGACTCTACAGCAAGTTGGCACCCGCACAATTTCAAGTAAAATCTTTCACTTGGTCCAAAAATTCATACCCCACTTTTTACAGCTCAATAATTCAAAGCTTATCGATAAGGTTCACCGGTATGAACTCGCTTGTGAGCCGTCAGATTTGCCGCCTGCGAGAACGATTTGCCGCAAAGCTAAAAAACATCACTCTTGAATATGTTCATCATTATAATACAAATTAAAAACCTACTTGGCAGCGGAATGGTTTGTTGGCAGGCGTTTCTCGAGTCAACGGCTTTAGTATCGAAGGTTTTATTTCTACTGGGTTGGTCATGTCCACATACCTGAACAGGAATTTCAGATCGTTCTACATAACTTTTTACATTTTTTTTGAGAAAGCATTAATCACTGACTAATCTCCAACTCCAATTCTTTGATAAGCTGAAAATGATCAAACAGTTTTTTGTAATGGATTATCTCTTCAAAAATTCTGTTCCATATCAGATCAAAATGATAATGAATTGATTAGGAATTATCTCAAGCGCCAAGTTTTTCCACGGTGATTTTTTCCAAGAACACAAGCCTTTCTGGGTGAATTTTAGCGTAGGTGAAGATTTCAGGTTTCAGTTGTTGGTGAATTGGTAGCTAGGTGAAGTTTATGGCTACCACTACTGATTACTCAATGACTCTGCGTAAGGTTTGCGATTTTATGTAAAAATCTTCTCACATTTCAGAAAAATAATTTAGAAGATAAGTCATCTCTCGAGATTTGGCCATAAAAGTCAAACTTTATTCAGACTAACAGTAAGAAACATGAAAAATTATTTCTGTAACGCAAATCCTTACCCATAAGTGTTGCGATGGTCCTGTGGTAGAGTATGCAAAATTTGCGTTGGTGGTATCCATTCTGTTGGACGTGACCAGTCCGGACGCCATCCGTATGGAATGCTAGAATGTAAGTGTGGACTAAATGCTGCAAACCTTCAATCACGATTGAAGTCATACATTCAGCAATAAAAGCGGCAGCACCTGGCATTTTTGGGGTTTCCACCGTGCAGGGTTTGACCTCGGCAGAAACGCAGAAACCCCAAAACGCAGCAGTGATTCGCTCTTATTGGAGAAAGCTTGCATCTTTTGGAGGCCATTTAAGCATCACTTTAGAGTAATGATGGTGGGAATACTTACACAGGTTCTCCACTTATCTGGGGTTCCAAATGAGGTTGCGCCTGTGGGTAGAAGACATCATAGGGTGCCACGGGAATCTGGTTCAGGTATGTAGGCTCAAAAAAGTCTGTGCGGTCGTAACCACCATAGGAGGACATCGCAACAGTTCCGTATAGGGTAAATGAATTATAAACCACCTGGTTGGTAAGAGATGACGAAGGTACGTCTCAGCTACCGTATTCCAGGTGATAGGGATGCTTAATCCGCTCAAGGCTAATCGCACCTGTTGGCTTCATTGTCGCCAGGGGAGTCTGCGTAAATTGTTATCATTGCTATGAAATCTGAGATGTACTTTAAGGGGCTTGTACTTCGAAAAAAAGGCGTGATTCTCTAGGTTTGAGGTAAAATTTCACTCTGGTCTTTTCAAAATGCTATTTTTTATGCGAGATTCCTTTGGACAACTTATCAAAAACTGTAACTTGTTAAAGCCAAAGAAAACTCGCTTATTATCAGAAGTTTGTGTTATTTTCACAAATGGAGACTATACTTGTGTCCTCGAGTCATTTGTAACTCAATGTGTGAATCTGCACACAGTGCGCAGCAACCGACGACGCCCTCACTAGCAACTCTTCAGTAAAACCTTGTCTATCGTAAGAAACTGTAGAATTGCGTGCTAGTAACTAATGCATATTCAATCAGGTCAAAACAGACAAAGAAACAAAGAGAAACTAGTGAAAATGAACGGTTTTCAATCTTACAAGCCGTCAAGTAGCGCGCATTGTGTGCAATTCGCATATTGAGCCACAAATGACTTGATGAATTTCTATATTGTTGTGCAACTCTCCACTAAATAACTTTTTTATTCAAAATTTTGTTTTCGATTGAAGAATCGTACATAATCACAGCAATCGCTTATTAACAGATTTAGTTGAAGATTCGGTTCTTTGTAATTAATGTGTTTGATTGGTTTGGACAAAGTACCTGAAATACGAAATTCTAAATCAAAAAACCCTTCTGGATATGCTAAAAGAGCAAAACTCACCAACTTTCAATGTAACTCATAGTCGAGATTTTTAACGTAACGTGGACCTTTGTATTCAGTCATGAGATCCCAGTCTAGAGGTTCGGTGTAGCTGAGGTGATAGGCCTAAAACTTCAAACTGAGGAACTTTTCTAATTTCTACAAGAAATGAAAAAATCTTGGACGAACCGACATAGCAGCTTCGAGATGTGCAGCGATGTGATCGTAGTCGGGTATGGAATTATATTCGAGCGTATCGATATAGTATAGTATGTTTGCCATATATTCTTCGGGGGTGTGCTTGAGGACCTAGATGCGAATCGCTACTATTCAGTAACTGAAGTAACTTTTTAGGGGTGATTGAAGACGATTTGTGTACGCCGCGTTTTTGTAAATTTTTGATGTTGGCGAGCAATTTATACCAAAATTTTTGAAAAAATGCCCATGTAGTGTTACACAATATTTATGAATATGCGACTCATCCTCTTCGTAGGTCCATATTATTTTCCCGCCACCCTCCCAATCGTCAAATTTTCTAAAGTATGATTTTGTGCGAGGGACACTCCAACTGATCTGTGTACACTCTAAATCAGACTTGAACTTTCTAGAAATGTAAATAAACTTCGTAAATTTTTGGAGGTTGGTCGCCTCTACGCCGCTTTTCTCGAAAATTTAGGCCCATAGGCCAGGACGGAATTCAAAGATATTATGAATTTTCTTTGCAGGGAGGCTAAATTCCTTCGCTGGAAAAAGATTTTTGTGGTCCCGGACCCCCAAAAACTTTGCTGAACGCTATTGCTACAACTATGTATAATCTTATACATCTAACGCACTCGTATCGTTTCTTACTTGTTCTTACTCTAACTATCCTTTGATTCAACTGGCTTGGCGGCTGGAAGGCGGGGCTTCGTGACTTAATTGAGACTAGGGGCCGCATGCACTAACATCCCCGCGGGGAGGGGATCGCAGCTTAAAAGAAAGCTTTATATTTCGAAACTTTAGATACCTGGATTTCACGTTGTGTAGATACCTATCCGTAAGTATTCCTATTACCCTTCACTATGAACATGTTGAACAGGAGCGAGAAGCTGTACAAACCGCATTTTCCAGCTTTTGTATGATCCCTGGCGCTTTTCTTCAAAGTCATTTTTCTTTCTCAGAAGTTAACGAAGAATCTCCAGAGTTGTGCAGATTGTCTAACCCGACAGTGCTAAGCATATTGCTGCTAAGAACAAATGATGTTTTGGAGTCATGAAATTTGCGATGATCCACAGGTCGAAATTTGAGGCTTACCGAAAAATTCGACTTTTCAAAAAGTCATTTGTTCTCATCGGCAACATGCTTAGCAGTATTGTGTTAGATGTTCAATACAACTTTGGAAGGTTTTCGTTAACTTCGGAGAAAGAAAAATGACTTTAAAGAAAAGCGCCGGGGATCATCAGGGATCATACAAAAGCTGGAAAATGCGGTTTGTACAGCTTCTCGCTCCTGTTCAACATGTTCATAGTGAAGGGTAGTAGGAATACTTACGGATAGGTAGACAGTGTGAAATCCAGATATCCGGAGCTTCAGGATATGAAGCTTTCTTCTGAAGCTGCGATCCCCTCCCCGCGGGGATATTAGTGCATGCGGCCCTAGGTAATGATCAGAGAGCACGCGCGAGAGACGCAAACTGCGTTGCGGGCGCGAGCTGCCTTAATTAGGTCACAAGGTCCCGCCTTTCAGCCGCCAAGCCAGTTGAATCAAATTACTTACCTTCTTTAAATTTGTTGGTATCCTCAGTTGTTGTTTGTACAGCTTCACTTCTGCACGATCGGTACCCTACAGTTCTTATTGTAAACAGAACCTGTTGGGTCTCATAACTTACCCGACAATGCTTCCATGGCAACTGACCTATCATCCACTCCAATACCATATACCACCATGCTTCTACGTCATCCTTCCGGCATTGGTCCTTCTGCGAAAATAAACCATGGCAAAGGTTCATCTGTCAGAATCAACAAACCATCTCAAGTGCCCCTATACTGGCGTATCTGGTGGTACCACGGAAAGCTGCTTTCTCCCTCATATACCGTAGATCCTTCTCTTCCGTTCTGAAAGTGACAAATTCTGTGGAATTTGGGAAGGTTGTACGAACGATATTTATCTACCTGTACTTTCTACACAACCCAAAGTCTAATATGTATATGGTGTGCGGATTACCATCTTCTTCTCGTCCTATGGCAAAGTTTGGAGGTTTTATGTCTCGATGTAGGTAACCGCACTAGAAACCAAGTTCTTTGAAGAACATTTGATAATTGCTTGTCAATCACATACTATATGAAGATCTCTTATTCCTGATAAAGTTTGTTCTGCCGCTCGTATCGAAGTAGCCATCGAAAATCGCCTATCAGGGTTTTCCATACGGAGATCCCACAAATTTTTACCAACCTTTATACAGATTTAGATGGGCTGCCCACTGATTGATAATGACTCACCAGTCTGATAACCACGAACATAAACCTGCCGCTTATTTTCCCCCGATCTTCGTAACTAATAAAATGAACCGAGTTAATTTTTCTCATTCCTTCGAGTACACGAGCTTCATGCCTCAATATCTGTAAGAGGTGAGCGTTTAGTTTGACTCACAGTTTAACTCGACTTGTTTTCCCATCGTTCTTTCATGAAATCCTACTTTATACTTAAACCGGTAGAGAAACGAATTCCTCAATTTGGCACCTCCTGCGCGGACTATCGGTTATAATGCAATGTAATCTTTTATTCAACTGGCTTTGCGGCTGAAAGTAGGGACCATGCGCCCTAATTAAGGCCGCTTGCGCCAGCTACGCGGTCTGCATCTCTCCCGCGCGCGTGTTTTCTGATCATTACTTGATCTTACTTAGGTCGCAAAGCCCCGCCTTCCAGCCGCCAAGCGAGGTAAATCAAAGGGTACACTAGTAGGCAGTGGCGTACCGAGGGGGAGGGGGCAGGGGGGGGGGGAGGGGGAAAGGGTATGTGCGTTATAGAAACGCGCGCCGCTCAACCGATTCAGCTGAATCTTTGCACACGTATATTTTCGACCCCTGCGCAGATGATAGGCTACTTTTTGCGGCGATTCGTTGGGTCCTTCTATCGATTTATTGATTTGTTTGCGTTTTTCTAAGGAATTGAAGGCTTATCATGTTCAATCAAGCATTTTTCCCTTATCAGGCAAGGGTGGTGAAGCTCATTTTCACCTCAGGATCACGAGGATGCGGTTTCGAAGCGGACATCTCAGGGTAAGTCATCCATAACATGCAGGGGGCTTGCAGTGCGAGTGAACCTAAACAGGCCTGGGCTGGACCGGGAAAGCCAACTAGTGGGTTATAAAAATGCGAAAGTGACTTGTTGTATTTGTGAACAAATTTTGACTTCAAATTTTTTTGAAAATTTATTTTAGCCCTATAAAATATTTTTTCGGGGCGCTCCTTTATCGGAAAATTTTTTTTGTCCCCCCCCACGCCCCGAGCCAAATCCTGGGTACGCCTGCTAGTAGGGTAAGAGAAAGTCAACGGGAACGAGAAGCCGCGTGCCTTCACCGAATGAAGTGCGAGCGATATTGCAAACAGCAACAAAATGCCACAGAAAGCTAGCACGGGCCTAAGCACTTTGAAGCCGCGGCCCACATTGCCGGTGTCGAGGGTTAAATCTGTTTTCTAGCTTTCTTACTTGCAAGTGTAAATGCTCAAGCGCGTCAGCTAATGAAGCAGCTTAAAACGATTCCAAAACAACATCTATTAGCTGCAGAATGAGTCTGGGTTGGAAGTTATCGATTGTTCACAGGGGAGACAATCATATGACACCAAATTTGGCTCTAGGCATAGAATATTACTTGCGGAAGAATTTTTCAATAAGTTCTGGAAACTTATGAAAATTAGTCCGTTCTCGATTCCCAAACGGTCACCATGCAATGTGAGATCGTTTAGAGCATATGTTTGTAAGATCACGTAGGTTTTGGTTTTGCTATCATGGACGGATTCCCCGGTCAAGAATCTGCCTCTAAGCATGAAGACTATTTCATATCGCTGCCTTTCATTTGTTTTTGTCTTAGTTTCTTCTTGAATCGCCTTGTTAGATATCGCGCTCCAATGTCAACACTCTTATTTCACAATTCCCTTTTAGACTAGTGGCTCTTTTTTGTTTTCATTTTCTTCCGAGTCGATAAATTTTCAATAAGGGTCAAAGGGAACTTCGTGAAATTTTCGAAACTTGGGGGGGGGGGGGGGAGGGGAGGGGAGGGACTTCGATTCTATAATAGAAACCCTAGAAACGTACTCAAACCAATGCCGTCCTGTCAGCGCTAGTCGACCAAGGAGTGGACCCAGCTTATGTGAGGACGTTAGTCGACGTTACAAGGACTGTACAAGGACGATACAGCTGTTCCACCGCTCCTCGACAAGGCGACACAATTTCGCCAAAGCTGTTCACCGCGGCCTTGCAGTGGGTGATGAAATCACTGAACTGGGACGAGAGAGGCATACAAATTGATGGGAGATTCCTGTCGAACTCTCATGTTGCGGACGACTTCGTTCTCTTTTCGAGCAGTATCACTAAAGCAGAGACGATGCTAAAGGAACTGAAAGAAGTAGGGAAGAAGATAGGACTGCGAATAAATCAGAAGAAGACTCAGTCCATGAAGAACGCCCTTTGCGAAGATGAGAAATGGAACTGGAAGGCATCCCTATCATGGAGATGTCTCTTACGGTATCTCGGGCGTTCGATGAACAATGGAGAACGATTTGAGGGAAGAACTTAACAGGAGAAGAGCAGCGTGGGGAGATTTCGGGCCTCTGAAGGAAGCCACGGACCAACTGACGGACCCGGAGCTTCGTGCCCACCTGTTCGACTTAACCGTCCTCCCGGCGCTCTGTTACGCAGCTGAGAGTTGGACTGACACCGTAGCCACGTCGAAAGCTTCAAGAACTAACCACAGAGCGCTAGAGCGTAGCCTTCTGAAGATGACCCGACACAAACAACGTCTTGTCGGACTTCGCAGCACAGATATGAGAGGATTGTACCGTCTTCGTGACCCAGCGGATTACGTTGCGAAAGCGAAGCATCCATGGGCCGGTCACGTTATGAGAAGAACAGACGACAGAAGGACACTAAAAATATTGGAGTGGATTCCTTGCGAATCAAAACGTCCCCGAGGAAGACCTCCAACGAGATGGGCAGACGTGTTCGTGGAACGGATGGACCAGCTGAGAAATCAGCTGGATACTATTTTTGCCCCTAAACTCGTGGACGCAGCCACCACGACATACAAGAAGATCGTGGATGTCTAAAGCGAGGGACAGGGAGAAATGGAAACTTCTGTGCTCGGGCCCGCACGTCACGTGAAGCCGGGCATCTAAGTGTCTAAGTAAATAGGTAAGAAACCTGCTCTTGCTGGGCCCTAGCTAAGAAAGGGAAGGAACCAGCGTTTCAGGCTGCTTCAGATGGCATCTATCCCATATTAACAGGTCAGTACGACTTCTGACACTTCCCTTGTAAAAGAGGGCAAGGGTACTCATGGTATGAGGACATTTGCTGAGCATCTTATTGATAACAGCAGAGAGAATCAACTTGCAAGATGTTTTCTGAGCATGCACATCTTGTTGAATCTCAAAATGAATGTCTTCAAAATGAGGAGCGCATTGAAAGGAACCGCTTTGTTATTCTTCGCGTACGAATGATTGGCCATACTGTATCAGTATCAAAAATTGTTCAAAGGGCATTTACACAGTAGTTATGAGTAATGTCGGTCGCTTCAGACAGATTTAATATGAGTCTCAAGAGTTCGGTCTTGATCGAAAGCATTGCACAGAAAGGAGCAAGTGAAATAGCTTGTCATGTCATTGCTCGCGCTCTCAGGATAAGGTAAGAAAGCATTATGGTTCGGGAAAAGAAACGAGATCGCATGCTCTTGTTATAGTGAGCTCGAGTATAATGTCCGCACCTGCTTTTTTACTTTGTATGATTCGCATTTCATTGCTAACTCTTTATTATCTTCTAATCTTCGTACTTTGAAAACTGCACCAAATGATCCTTTACCGAGTATTTCCAAAATCTGTAAAGTACCTGCTGGGATTTTCGAAGCCGACAAGAGACTGCTCACTTCGTAAGTGCCTTTCTTGCTCTTAACAATGTCTTCATTCTCCTTAGGCATGTCGGCCATAGGATCGCCCTTGCTCATCTTGCCGCATCGAGGAGCACACGCTCAAGAATGAGAGCCCACCAGTGTTAAAAGTCGGGATGTTTTGGAAGACAGCAGCTCACGTCCAAACAAGGTCTGTTTATCAAAACTGCCTTATTCGGAGTAGGGTGCACAGTATTGAGGCACGAGCAATAACTGGTTGTTTTACACCTGTCTTGATCCAACAGCAATGACTTACTTAACGTTCTTCATATTTGCTGTTGTCTTGAAAAAACTTGAGGATTGTGGATAAAATACAGGGTGTTTGAAAAGTTCGTGTCCTTAAGCACTTCAACTGCGAATGCTAACTCGATTTTTGCTATGTGTGTTCGTCAAACCTAGAAACTGAATCAATAAAGAAAAATATTTTTTGCCTCAAGATACCCTAGAAATTTTCGAAGTAGACAATTTTTTCAGCTTCCGTGTGTTATCTGATTGGTTCTTTTTTTCCAACCCCGAAAAAGAAAAACAGCTTTTGGTTTTTTTTTACTACAAGTAGTCCTACAGTTACACTTTCTTCGTATAACAAAAGTTCTTCAGTAGCTTGCTAACGAAGATTTTTTCATGTGCGGAATCACAGCAGACAGTCGCGGCACCACTTTGCGTTGAAATTTTTTTAGTTTAAAAAAATTTGGAGGTCTTATTTTTTGTATTTAAAAACAAGTACAACTCTCTGACCTTCGTTGTACTTGTTTTCAAAAAGTTTGCACGCTTGTGAAGGTTTTAAAGATAAAATAAAAAAAATTTCGGTGCTGTGCTTTGTTGACGAAAAAATCCTGAAACTCGATCTCTTTATTTCAAGGCACGGTATTTCAAAAACAAACTTACTTCTACGAAAATTAAAATCGCATTCAAGAAACCTTGAAGAAAGAGCTTTCAAAATGTACACCTAGTTTTCTGTGAATCATGTTTCCTTCTTTGTAACAAGCGTTTCAAGGAAAGTGGTTTGGAAAGCTTTATTGATGTGTTTCAATCTAATTAAAAAAAGCTAAAAAACTAAAAGGAAAGCTGGTTTCACTGAATTAATGGTTTCTAGGCCTAATGAGCACAATAGAACAAAAAGCGTGTCAAAATTTGAACTGGTACTTGAGGACACGAATTTTTCAAACACCCCGTACCTTGAAAGCGTGAAATGGCTGTACGATACGATTAGATTCTAAGAGAGAAACTATGATAGATCAGACATGATTAAACTACCTGTGTACAATAACGGGGTGTTATTCTAAACAAACCATTGAAAATCTAGATATAGAGCCTGGGAAATGAAGAAATTTTCGCCCATAAAAGAGTGCATTTTGTTGAATAACGGCGAAGAGAAAAAGATGTAAACTTATAGAAAAAGCAAAAGATTTTGTTAAAAACGTAAAAATTGCTAGAACACCGTTTGAAAACCCGGGAAACGAGAGGACCGTAGTTTTTTTATTAGCGATAGCCTCGAAACTAATCACGGTTTGGATGTGGGATTTGCAATGAAGAAGACAAAGAGGACGACAACTGGTAAGAGAACGGCGAGTTTTCTTGCTTCAAAGTCACGATGCACGTCAAAGCCATCTATTTGCTACAGCTTCCGAAATTTTACCCCCGCTTGGTCCCTTTTGTTTCCGGCCGATGTTTGCATTGTTCTACTCATCATTATGAGTAACAAACCTCTGAAGATTGGGAAAATTGTAAACTCACTCTACAAAAAGTTCCATGAAGAAAAACGCACTTTTTGTAAATTCAAAATATTAGTTAATTTGCCACAAAAGCGAGTCCGGCGACGGTGACTACAGCTTAGACAAAACTAACAAGGGAATGGTCAGAAGTCGAAGTGGCCAAACCAAACAAGCTGCATACCATTCGATGCAGCATAAAATGCTGATTTCAAATCTGTCTTCCATATCTGCAGAGCGCCTTTGTAGGCGAAGTTGTGAGCAGCTTTAGTGCGAAAAAACCGTATACAAAATTTGCAAAATTAGGCACATGGTTGCACTTTCAGCCCCACTCTAGGTACGGATCAAATGATGTGACCTAGTTGCATGTTTTGGTCCAACACTGAGCCGCGAATGACTTTGTACGGCCAAGTTTGCACTTTACACGCACAATTTCTTAGCAAAATAATGACATTCAACGGCTTATAATTTCGTCCACAAAAGCGCTCTGCAGACAAGGAAGACAGATTTAGAGTCAGCATTTTATGCTGCATCTAATGGTATGCAGCTTGTATGGATTGGCAACTTCGACTTCTGACCATTTCCTTGTAAGTTGCAGCGACGCTATTAGCATGTTTAGGCTCTATTTGTAAGAGCTTTAGAATGACACACGATTTGTCGCGATTGAATTTGCGAAGTAGAAAAGGCTATCAAATGCATGAGTAATGTCTTTTTTCAGCTGCATGTCAGTAAATTAAAAACCTTCAAAGATGAAACCTTAGGCTTGATGTTTGTGTGTTTGTTTCATATGTTTGCTCAAATATCCTCTCAGTTTTACTCTGATACATTGACAAGCAATTAGAAAAGTGCAATTTTTTTAGAAAGAGTACGCAACCTTTGGGACAGTATCGTCGAAGAAGAGCGAACTTATAAGAAGAGTGGAAACACCCCCTTTTGGTGCAAACCGTCATTTTGCGCTCAGATATCCTGCAGTGATCTGTCTTGTCTGTCTGTCTTGCCCTTCTTTGGGAAATCCTATCGAGATAAATTGATCCTTACCTAGGTTAGCTCTTCTCACCTTGTTTTCCATAATAATCAGTGGTTCATGAACGGCGCTAGTCATGCTCTCGCATCGCAATATTGTCAGAGTAACCTCAAACTGAGGTGTTTGGCTTCCGCTGTCTGAGCTAGATCCAAAGTAAGCCTTGTCACTTGCTCTCTTTGCTACAGAGACGTTGTCGGGTCGTTCATAATTGCTACCCAATTCGCACTTTGAAGAAGGCGATCTGCCAAAACGTCAGCACTAATTATTGAACAATTTTAGGTACGGTTGATGATCAACACGGAGTACGCTCTAGGCCTTCCACTAAACTTTCTGCGCACATACACATTTTGCTCACTCCAAAGTTAGTTGACGTCGTTTTGAATCCAGCGTTCTTTACACAACGCAAAAATAGCCTTTCTTCATAAAAAGTTTTTTTTTTTCTGCAAAACCGATTTGAATTATACATGCTCTTAAACCCCTTCCTTTTTTCCTTCTTTCACAGCTGACTTCTATGAGATTCATACAGAAGTAAGTAAAGAGAAGCTATCAATGTAGCGTAACATAGCGATTTTTTCGTCCATCACGGGTTTCTGTGCACTTACGAAGTCAATGGGATGAACTTTGTGTTTATTGCACAGCACGCATTGTACACAGTCTCAATGAGCAAGTTGCACTTTTAGGAAAAGTAAGCATTTGTTTTTTGGCCTTTTTTGTTGTTATTGATATCTTCTAATCTTGTTTTGATTTAACAACCCCTCAATGGTAGTTTTTGAGTTTTTTAAATGTGCTATGTTACTCGAAGATATGTTTTATGATGCTCTGAGGTATCCATCTGCGACATCACATTGTATTTGATTGATTCAAGTTTATCCTGTTTCTACATATCTTTCATGCCAATTTCCACTTTCATTCAAACAAAATCTTTATTACAGTAAGAGAGCAGTACGGGCAGCTTGTTATATAGTAACAATGCAGCCAGACATAGTTTTCGCAAAACCAAATGACTTCTTTTATTGCTCGGAAAAGCCTAAAAATTGATCTCTGTTTGCTTACCAAGCTACGTTTAAGAAGCAAATAGTAAATTTTTTAAGTTACCTTAACCCTTTTGTAACACCTCTAAATCCACTTTCTCATACTTTGGACCTTTGTATTTCGTCATCAGATCCCAATCCGGTGGTGCATCCCAGTTGAGGTAGTGCGCCTAGATATTGTACAATTAGCTAAACGAAAAGTTCGCAGAAAATATGGATGAATAAGTAATGCTATTTGGTAATCTGCGTTACCTTAATCGCTGTCGATAATTGGGCAGCAATGTGATCATAATCTGGGATTGAATTGTATTGCAATGTGTCTACGTATTGAATGATGTTCCCCATATATTCTTGAGGTGTACCTTGCAAGAACTGCAAAAAAAAAAACTCATATTTGCCATCGTTTTAGCAGCTGATAGAAGATTGAGCGTTAAAGGCTTCTTGTGTTACTTACAATTTTCAAATTTTTAGGCAGTCGCACTTTCTTTTTCATATGTAGGATTTCTTCAATTTGATCTGGCTGCAATACTGTTCGTTAGATGCTCAATTCGCTTGATTTTTCTTTTTCCAGGATATTTACCTGCATATCCTGCCAAGGTAGTTGTCCAACCATCAACTCCACTATCATGTACCACCAAGACTCAATGTCGTCCTTGCGTGATTGCTCTTTCTGAAAAACGTTGTTGAGATTTGGTTATCGGACCATTTACGTCATTTACCATGCTCAAGGCCGTAATGCTTGCATAACGCGGTGTTCCTCGAAAAGCTGCCTTTTCACGCTCCAGACGTAAATCCTTTCCTTCTGCTCTGCAATCATAACTTCCGTAATAGTATTGAGAAAAGAAATCGTAATTTCGGACACCGACATGTACAAATAAGCAATTATTGTTAAGGTCTTCCAAATTTTTAAACGAAAAAAATTAATTTTGCTTTCTTCAATATCACGGATGCACCTAACATATTAGGAGACTATAATAACTGCAATGCACTTGGTTGTGTTTTGATATCTCACAATCTTGAGAAAATTGATAACTAATTTCAAACGCACACATTGTGCGCCCAAAACAGAGAAAGTAAGAAAGTGGACAAGCAGCATTCAGACGATATAGATAGAAAGATGTTCCTTCTTGAGGTTGACATCGTTCTTCTTGGTAGTATGAAATTTTTCCGAGCTCCTATTCTTAACGCAGACGCATATGGAAGGTACAGTTTTTTGAGGCTTGGTTAACTCAACCGTAGCAGACGAATCAGCTAAGCACGCTTGTTACTGGTGAGGGTGAGGAAAGACTTCTTGCGATGTTTTCTTATGGTTATTTTAAGCAAAAAGGGTGGTGTACGTTAGAACAGGCGCAAAACTCATTCGGATGTAACTGGTGTAAGTTACGCGAAGAAGCCAAATTTTTGACATAAACGTACAGTCTGCAAAATAAGTTAATTGACGCGAAATTGGACTCAATAAGATTAATCTGAACATTAGCGATTTTTAAGGTCTATAGAACGTCAATATGTTTCAAGCCAGTCTGATCCGACAAGAAATGGCGTTTGTTCGCCTCGCAAAGGTTCGCGCCGTTTCGCCGATTCCATGATCAGGAAACTCATTCCTTCATCAAGTGCCGCCTCTGCGCGCTAGTGGTCTCTTCGCTCATGCTACTGTTAGAGGACTAGTAGTTTGCAGGCACCCAATGAATTGCGTTCTTTCTCATCCGTTCCCCATTCTCTTCATTCGGTGCACAATGCCAGCGTCTGCATTCGCGAAGCCTTCAGCGAAGCGGACGCGCTGCTCTATGCAAAACGCTTAATTCTACATTCGCTTGAAACAAGTAAGAAGCTAGCTTTGCGCGAGACTCCGCCGAATTTTTGCGAGAGATCAATCTACGTGGAAGAAGACTGGGGTATGTGGCGAAGCATACAAAAAGTGCAGTGTAAGCCAAAAGGATAGGCGAAAGCATACTACTTGAAAAATTCTGACCGTCGCAGCAAAATTGCTTAATAAAGCTGTTGCCAGCACAAACTGTTATGCCTCTATCAAGCGGATTATAGGTAAGTCAAGGCAGTAACTGTCCGAAATCTTGCGTTATTTCTCGGCTTCAAAACAAAAACAGTATCATTTGCTCTGACCGTAACTAAGATAAAGCGCATTCTTTGGTCGTCAGAATTAGGCCCAGCCCTTAGCATAAATGGTAGCTTTCTTGCTGGTACTAACTTCTATGACACAGGCGCTCTGTGCCCCCAGTCCATCGCGACACCTGCGTATGCAATCAGTAAAAACCTACCAGGGCGGAACTCCAGCGGCGCATTGGATCGTGGACTGCACGACACTAGTCAACGTGATCATCTGCTCAGAGAATCGCGGGGGTAGACAGCTCTGCGATTTATAGGCAAGCGGGCAAGTTCGCTGATTTCTTGCGGTCCGCCTGCAGATACGTGTTGGTGTTTGTAGAACCTGTCCTGCATGCAGAACCTCGGTGCAGGACCACTTCCGATGTTCTTCAAACATTAGCCTATACATTACCAATTCCGCAAGATAACACTTCATCAAATATTAGCGACAATGCAATCTAAACCTCGGTGCTGTGTATTTACGCATTACTAGAAGTGATGCAAGATCCACCAAAGTAAGCTTATAGGCCTTGTAATACCTGATATCCCTCTTCTAGTTTTAAACGTCAACGCGTGGAGTGGCTAAAGACTTAGGGTTGTTTTATACTGCCGCACTGACTGCAGCAGACTGCGGCTGACCGCACTGACCGCAACGGCCGCGCAGATCGCTGCATCCTTTCGTAAAAAAGAAAACAGTCAAAACACCGTGATTTACTCTTAGAAAGTTCATAGGCTCTAACTTACTCTTCAGTCGAATTTTAGCAATTGTTTATTTTGGTACGCTCATATTTATTTTGACCCGGTTATTGCATATGCCTGTTTACACTCTTGTTCGAATTGTCTTTTGGGGCTAGGCATATTTTTCACTGATTTGTTCAGCTTGCACAAGATGTATATTTCTTTACCAGTGCGTCACGTCCGCTTTGCGGAGGTTCGCACTGGCTCTACTATCCGTTTGCCTTTTTCATGTTCGCATAATGATTACTTTGAAACACACCATGCGATGCTGAACATCACAAATGAATAGTAAACAACTGTTCATTCTTGAAGCATCTCCACGTAAGATCGGTAATTTTGAGAGAAAAAACTTGTCGCAAAGGAACACCTGCGAATTTGATTAGATTACTGAATTTGTTTTGGCTTGGTAGTCGTCATAAGGATAATAGTCACTTTGAGCTAAATTTCTGTGCAAAAGTCTTTTCAAGTCTGAAAGTAAAACCTTGCCAAATCGACTATCTAAGCGATCTCCACTTCTTGGCGCTGTTATCGCAGAAAAGCAAACTTTTTGAGCACTTTTTGGGCTGAATTCATGAGGCGCAGATGTACTTGTCAGGCAAATCATGACTTCGCAAAAAGTCGAATTAATGACCTAGTTTTGCGTGCCAAAAGCCATTGGGCCCGTCTTTGACGCGCAGTTTTCAAAGGTCCCAAATATCGGATCAGCTTGTGCTTTTGCACTTTTTACCTACATGCTGGTAGGGTGCTATGACCAGAATTTCAGCTCAAGACCTTGCCTATAAAACGCTCTATGAATTTCGTGACAGACAGACATAAACACACACACAGACAGACAGACACGCGCTTTATTATAAGTCATGATTTGACAGACGTTTCGGCAATATCGTCTTCTTCGGGGTCTGAAAAAGTCGTGACCATGTAAACTGTCCAGCTAGCAACTTTGTCACGATCAAGCAAATTGTCCAACCTGCTAGGCATATTGTTTTGATTGTTTGGGCTACAGGGTACAATTTTACCCTCTCCACCTTTACTGAAGGATGCAACGATCTGTGCGGCCGTTGCGGTCACTGCGGTCAGCTGCAGTCAGCTGCAGTCTGCTGCGGTCAGTGCGGCAGTCTGAAACAACCCTTAGGGTCTCGAGGCGCAATAAGCCACTCACAGTCGACAGTGCGCGCCGTCTGTTTCAGACGCATCTTTATAAATTTTCAAAGTCAATTTTGGGTAAAATATAATGCAATGCTGAAACAAATAAATGTTGATCCGAAAATTCATAAACAGATGAAACCGCCTGTGTTGTTTCGCAAACCGCTCGCCTATGCTGTGCTCAAGCACGGGTGAGCAAAGGGCCAGTACAACGTCACCTTCTCACCGGTTTTGGAGAACGCGTACCTCCAGAGTTTTGCAGGTACAATGTGCTCAAATCAAAACATTGCGTAATTCAAGTTAACACCTCTATCAAATCTTAGATCAGCCGCAGAACCCTCGACATCAATGGAAAAAAGCTCACCTGAATTTTCGCGCAAATTTGAAATCGAGAATGAACACTGTGTGGTAAGAGTCATCTTCTTCCCTTCCAATTGCAAAATTGTCAGGCTTTATATCTCGATGGATGTAACCGCACTGAAAAATTATGTTGCTACAAGTTTTGAGTTCCATAAGCTGTCCCACAATGTGCAAATCGCGAATGGCCGTCAGTGTTTGTTCAGCGATTCGAATCGCAGTCCCCATACTGAACTTGTGATCAGGAACATCACGACGAAGATCAAAGAGGTTTTTTCCGACCTTCAGGATTGAGCTTCTTCGGAATTTGCGCAGAAGGCATTACTTACCATCCTCATTACAAAGAACACAAATCGCTCATCGACCAAACCTCTGTCTTCAAAAGCAACAAAATGAGGAGACACGAGATTTTTTAACGCATCGTAAACTCTAGCTTCGTGTCGCAACGTCTGTGATGGCACGAGTATAGTATCAAAAATAGTCTTTAATTTGCAGAAAAAATGACTTACAGGCACTTTGACTTTGACAGACTCACACTTCATAGCCAAATCACGTTTATCTTCAAGACGCAACACATGGAACACAAATGCGCTGCTGCTTTTGGATATGATTTCTTGTATCTGAATACATTTCTTTCATACTACGTCGTTTAGTTGCAGGTTAAAGGGAGATCTTTAAAAAGCCGGTGAAATCGCAAAGATGCAGTGGCTATTCGTAAAATACACATATCATTTAAATGCGTCTTAAAGCTGATTACAAATCTGCTTTAACGATCTTCTGTACGATTGTTTGCAAATTATGAGTTATCAGTGCTTCACCTCTGCTTCGCAGAGACTCGCACTGGCCCTACTATCTGTATGTCTTACTCATTCTTGCACAGTAATGACACTGGAACTCACCGCGCTATGCGGACTATCACGAATGATTTGTAAACAACTATTCATTCCAAAAGCTTTTCCATATGAGATCGGTAATTTCGCATGAACGAAACTTTTCTCGAAAGGCAAATTTGAATTTGTTTTTGGACTTTTCATGGCTTGATATTCGCGATAAGATGCCATAATCACCGTGGGCTACATATCTGCAAAAATCTTCTCAAACGATCGGGTAAAATCTTGGCAAATTGAACATTTACGCAACTAATTCTTTTTGGCGCCGTTTTCGCAAACTAATAAACTTTAGTTCAATTTTCTAGGCTAAAGACCATGGTTTGCACATTAACTTGTTAATAATATCCGTGAATTTGCAAAAAGTTGCGCTACAGACTCAATTTTACTGGCCAAAAGCCAAGTGGATCTGGTTGACGCGCATTTTTTGAGGGATCCACACAGTGGATCCGCTCGTGCTTTTGTATAGTAGACTCTCATGTTGGTAGCAGGCGCTGTGCAAAATTTGGGCTCAGGATGGCTTTAACACGTTCTACGAATTTCGTGACAGACAGACAGACTTACGCATATCCACACAAAAACACGTAAACATCCTTAGCCCGTTATTATAAGTTACTAGCTGGCTTACCCGGCTCCGCCGTATCCGGACCAAACTTGGCACACATACATCTCGGGCCCCGGCGGGTGTCACAGTCCACTTTTCGTTATCGATCGATGTCGATTTTACCGATTTTTATCGATTTTTTTGCAGAGTTCACCTACAGGGCTAGGAGTTGGCACAGGGGGGGAAGTGAGCATGGGGATTCCGAATACAATATTAGTTTTCAGAATTATCGATTGCTTTTATTGATTTTATCGATTTTTTGTAAATTTTGACATGCGAGGCTGGGATTTTGCACAGGGGGTAATCGAGCATGCTGATTACGAACACAATATTAGTTTTCAGGATCGTCCATTACTTTTATCGATTTTATGATTTTTTGAAAATTTGAGCTAGGGGGCTGGAATTTGGCACAGGGGTGTAATCGAGCATGCTGATCACCCCCTTGGGGATGATCAGCATGCTCGATTACCCCCCTGTGCCAACTCCCAGCCCCCTAGCTCAAACTTTGCAAAAAAATCGATAAAATCGATAAAAGTAATCGATAATCCCGAAAACCAATATTGTATTCGGAATCCCCATGCTCGATTACCCCCCTGTGCGAACTCCCAGCCCCGTAGCTCAAACTTTGCAAATAATCGATAAAATCGATAAAAGTAATCGATAATCCCGAAAACCAATATTGTATTCGGAATCCCCATGCTCGATTACCCCCCTGTGCCAACTCCCAGCCCCGTAGGTGAACTCAGCAAAAAAATCGATAAAAATCGATAAAATCGATATCGATCGATGACGAAAAGTAGCCTATGACACCCGCCGGGGCCCGTAGTGTATGTGTGCCAAGTTTGGTCCGGATCGGTTCAGAAATGGAATTTTCTATTCGGAACATACGTACACACAGACAGACAGACATACAGACATACAGACAGACAGACAAACAGACATTCAGCTTTATATATAAGATGATGATTTTACGCGATTTGCACTAAAGCGTAATCAGGATCATTAACATGCGAGTTTTTTCAAGGTTACGCAACTGAGACAGCTCATCTAAGCTTGAAGTGCTCGCGCTCTTTTTCAGACTTTGAGGAGCTAAACAAGAAATTGGAGGGATGTCTGTAGATATGATCGGCTGAAACTGTACAAATTTCTATGCAAAAAACTTCACAGCTTTTTTCAGACAATCGCAAAACAGAAGACGAGAAAAGATTCAAAGACAGCCTTTCAAGACGCATCAGGTGTATGTATTTCGCTACAACTGTGGTCACCAAGTTTTCTTTTAGAGCAACTATTCCTGCTATGCCTATGCCAGGTCTGTTTAGAACTCTTGAGATGGTGATTACTCAACGAAACCAACATCTATTACTAATAATAATTCGTTCCAAGGCTTTCACCTGGCCAATCGACCACTAACATTTTGAGCGTGTGTTGGCACAGCTTTCGAGGAAACTGGCGAGGGATTCTAAAGACTGTTTGTAGGCAATAAAACTTTTATAGCCGGAAAAGGAATGTTTTCTACTGAGCCTCCCATTCGCTATGTCTTATAAACTTTTCGCTGTAGAGTGGAGTATAAGACTGGTCACTGACGGCAATAAATCCCGTACATTCAAAGACGTCCAGAATCCCTCGAACGCACTTGAGCGTAATGTCTTTCGGTGGTTGCTTGCAGGAAGTGGTGAGTGATTTTACAGGATAAGTTCTGACAGTCATAATACATTACACCCGTACCGCCTGCTGTCTTGCTCACGGATAGAGATCATCTCACCTCGTAAGTTGCCTTCTTGCTTTTGATCGCGTCTTCGCTCTCCTTCGGCATATCATCAGCATTCTCCGCACTCATCGTGGTTGGAATGAGGGAACCAATCGAGGATAAGTTTGGAAAAGGAATGAAACACATCTTTCTGCGATTATCATTGAGCAAGTATCTGTTGATCAATGTTATCAACAAAAGAATTTTATCATAAAGTGCGGTTCATAATTATACGAACACCCCACATTTTAGAAATTTTTGGACTATTTGAAAGAAAATCAAAAAACCCTTGGTACTACGCGAAAGAGCACAACCCAAAACGGTACACGATCCACAAGAATGGAAGTTGATGCAATCTTAGAAGTGTTTTTGCGCCTAATGCGAATTTTGAGCGGTTCATAATTATACGAACACCTCAAACAAAGGTCCATTTTTTATTCGCGAATGCAATCTTTCGTGTCCATTTTTTTTCTAGAGTTACAGTAAAAGTCTGAGACATCTGCTACACACTGAACCCAGTGCAGGTCAAAAAAGAGGAGCGTTACTTATTCCAGATGGCTAAATGCTTTTGGAGTTATTGCACTCCGAAAAAACCGTTTTCTTTTGGTTTACGCACTCTAACTAGCTTTTACCAATACTATGAGATAAAACAAGCTCTTTCGATAAAAATCTTGTTTGGCCGCCCGGAAAATCTTTGCATTTTCGTGCCGTTTTTCAACCAAGTTCCAACCTTACTTCAGAGTTTGCACGATTCAATCCTTAAAACTTAGCTTCTGAAGCCATACAATGAAGTAAGCACATAGTATGTAGAAGTTCACAAGATAGTGTATTTGGTTAGAATAAATTAGCAACTTAGAGTATTTGTTTTCGCTACGCAAGCGTCATGTCACCAAGACCACTGTTTTTACTATTGCAATCCCCTTTATTTGGTTTTTAGCTTCGTAGCCTTAAAATTAGTTGCGCAAAAAATCAAAAAACTTTAGCACGGATACATCATCACGCAAACAGCGCAGCCGCTTCATATCAAATGTTTGCGCGAGACAGAAGCTGATTTTAGCGACTCGAAATCGTGTCAACTCTATCGTAAGATCGGATCTTGGTTGAAAAACGGCACGAAAATGCAAAGATTTTCCGGGCGGCCAAACAAAATTTTTATCGAAAGAGCTTATATTATCTCATAGAATTGGTAAAAGCTAGTTAGAGTGCATAAACCAAAAGAAAACGGTTTTTCGGAGCGCAATGACTCCAAAAGCATTTAGAGCTATCTGAAATAAGTAACGCTTTTCTTTTTGAACTCCACTGGGTTCAGTGTATAGCAGATGTCTTAGACTTTGTTACTGTAACTCTAGAAAAAATTTGGACTTGAAAGATAGCGCTCACGAATCAAAAATAGACCTTTGTTTGAGGTGTTCGTACTCAGACAATAACTCGGACGAGCGGCGGGCCTCTACCGGGCGGGCGATCATGCCTCTTGCCGCTCGTTCTCTAGAGGCACGCGGGCCGCCCGCTAGAGATATAAAGCGGGCGAGCGGAGTACCATTAGCGGGCGAACGGAGAGTACCCTTAGAGGGCGAGCGGAGTACTTCCCTCCACTCTCCCGCTAAAAGTACTCCGCTCGTCCGCTCGCATCAAAGCGGACGAGCGGAGTGCCTTTGGCGGGCTAATATCTATATGTTGTCCCGCTCTCCCTCTAGAGATATGTCTCTTCTGTGCATGGATTTGACAGCTTATTGTCATTGCGTTAATAATCTCTCCTTTCTTTCCCTATGGGCAGATGTGCTAACGTAAATTCTTGAGATAGATATGTACAAACAATTATTGTAACGTTTTATAGTTTATTAGAAAGGCTAACCACATGCAAAAGCAAATGCAATGAGCATGCTCAGCGTCATGAATTGAAACAGCACGAGATAATAAACCGGAACAAAATAAGTACCAACGAAATAAACAACAATATCACATTCTCATGAGCGCAAAAAAGGTGCAAAGGTGCAAGCACTCATCTACACGTACGCGAAAAATTCGCTGTTTACCAAAAAATCTTCTTCTAGAATCTTCTCAATCTTTTTCTTCCACCTTCCGAAGCATCTTCATCTCCTGGGCAAGTAGTAATCCCCCCGACCTGGCGGCAGGTCTCGTCGGCAGGTCGCTGGCACCTTTTCCGTGAGGTTGCCAGAAAGCGAGACCCCAAATTTAGGCCGTCCCAGGCCTTTTTTTGAAAATTTTCTAGATAAAGATGCCGCCTCGACTCTGTAGAAAACTCCACAAAAGTCTGCAGTTCCAGAATTCCTCCTTTAGGAAAATATCTGGAAGCGCAGGAGGAGCTGCCGGCAACTTCGCGATGTCAGTTGCCGGCAACCTGCCGGCAGCTCGTCGAAATCCGCGAGATGGCAGCTGCCGGCAGGTCAGAGAGCACGGGAAATAGCGTGCTCTTTTGAGAGAGGGAGCTGCCGGCATCTCGACGTGCCCCTACCACGTCGAGGTGGTGGCACCTTTGCCGACGGCGTCTGTGAGTTTGCGAATTGCGGCGATATCACACAATTTACGTCAGGCGAAAAAACCAAAGACCCTACTTTCTATCAAAAAACTATCATTTTTCTCATTATATGAGTTTCTCTTTTCTAAAACGACGATTTTCTTACAGAGAAACAATCTAGTCATGCTTTAGAACCATAAAGAACACTATCTTTTTTGGCAATCTCTTCTAAATCTCGTTTGCACCGATTTCGCCCCTCTCCTGCTCATATCAATCAGCTGTTCTTTCAGGTCAAAGTCTCTCACGCAATGTATTGATCCCTCTTACAGGCGGTCACTTACCGGTGCATTCCTCCTATTGCTGGTGCACTCGGAAATGGTTGACCGAATGGTCGAATGGTTAACGGGGTGGCACTTGAAGTTAACGCACTTAGGTTCGGCCGAGCGCGAGGTAGCAGTTTTGCGGCTGTGTGCGTCGTCAAAATTTGATGTGCGAAATGATTGCGCACTAAGGTTACATAAGATTATCACAACCTACAATCACTCCACGAGCTACCGCCGATGATGGCAACTTCCCCGCGATGTGTGCCTACCTGCCGGCATCTTTGATGCCACCAGGTAGGGTAGATTACTACCGGCCCTGGTGCCGCACGCTTCTGTCGCTGAAGCACATGAAATAATCACTAAATTATCTATTTGCTGTAATGTTCTCACGTCGCTAGGTATCCATTTCCCCGAGTGGTAACTGTAAGACCGCACATCTCGCCTAAATTTTATAAACAACATGTAGAATGGTGAAACCAATTTTTTTAAGCATACAGCACCATTTGCAGGCATCTGAAGAGGTGTGGCCGCCAGTCCTTTTGCTGCTCCATTGATTCATCCAAAATTTTCTCTCTTTCTTCATCCATTTTTACTAGATTCTTGTAAAACCTTTAATGAATTATTTCGTAGTTCACAACAAGTCTCGATCTTTAAGAGCTCACTTAGAATCCTCAAATTGACTTCCATCCACGGCTTTAATTCGTCATGCCCGAGGCCTAGCATATCTTCTCCAAAATCTAAATATTGGTAATATTGTCAAACCGCGCCCCTATTAACTTGCCCTTTACCTTTCAACACGTCCTCAATTTCTTCGTTTTTTAAAGCCTCATTCCTTCCTCCGGTTTGGTTCATTCTCACGGAAAATTCCTGGATTTTTTCTGGGGTCTAAATGATCTAAATGCACTTTGTAGAAAGTACCCTTGTTTGCAAATCTTCCTGAAACTTACTCTTTCCAGCACAAATCGATACAAAGAACAAAGTAGTTGATATGCATTCCCTTTTCTTCTTCTCTCCCGATCCTTAGCTAGTTGCATTAGACTGACCTAGATTGGTGTTTTCATAAATGTCATGATATCTTTGTAGGAACCTGCTTAAACGGGGGATTTGCGTTTATCTTCCATAGCTTTGAGCAATTGTGCACATTAACAGTAAACATTAGTATCTGGAGCATTCCTTTCCGCATTTTCCATAAATCGTGCCGTCTTTGTTGAAATTGCCCTGGCTATCTCAGCCTGAAACAGGATATTACAATGATATTAACGAACAGAAAACTCAGCCATACCGTCATTTTATTAGCAGTGTTCCACAGCTGATGGTTATCGGGATCATTCAAGCGATTCAGATCTCCATATGTCGTCTTTGCGCACATCACTACGTTGGATCTCACAAATTTCTACAAAAAAGCCAAAAAAGCCCAAAAGCCCTTTTGTAGTTTATAGGGGTAGAATTCACATGAAAAGTTGCTTCATGAATCTTTGTTGACGCATGCTTGACAGTATATACTTGGCGGCTTGATCCATGTATAAAACATTGTTGCTAACGCAGTCGTATAAGGATGTAGGAGAAGGAGATGTTTTAGGATTACGAGAGCGTGCATCGAAGTGGAATTCACTCCTCTCGTAGACGTTCCCTCAAAAATCAAAAACTCTTCAAAGGTTTTTGTCCAAGACGTCATAAATATTTACCTCGAGGAACCTTCTCTTCTATCTCTGCAAAATTTTCTCCGTTGAACTCATTCTCGACTCTTTCATCACTGCAAATGCGAACTTAATATCGAAATTAGAATGCGGTGCAAAACGAACTTTTTCTGAGGAGATGCCAGCTGCCTCAAAGCAAATCTCTGCTTGACGTAGATTCTTGGTGGGGCTGCGACACTGCTAAGAATATATGGCCGGTACATTTCACTGTAATGGTATATTCAAAACAATCAAATAGACGAAGCAATGTGCTAGAGAAAACATAGCGGCATGATAACGATACAAATCAAGCCAAGCAACGGGAATAATATAATTTATTCAATCAAACACATCATTCAAAGTCTACATATATATGTGTCGCTTCCAAAATTGATTATTGAGCATGTTAGCGCAGCAATCATTCGGAAACCTAACCCAAGAATTTTACAGCTGCGATTAGTGCAGATATATTGTGTTGGACTCATCAACTCCATACAAGCAGAACAAAAGAAATATCTCTGATGATCACAGTCATGTATGATGCTTTCGTTCAGTTCCTTTACATGTTTCATACTGAAATCTCTTACTAAGAAGGAACAAATGAGAAGATCGTGTCCTGGATACCGTTATAGGCGGACGGAAGCCATA